CTTCAGCTCATGGCCCCGTAGATGGCAGCTTCCTATGTTGAGCGCGAGACGCACAGGATTCAGACACGCTGAAAGTAGCAGAGCGCGCGTTTCACACGAGACATAACTGCATGGACTTGCAATCGTTCGTTCCAAATCGCACGAGGAGCACGAGAAAGGTGGACATTATAAACAAGGAGCCATAGCTATAATAAGAATCCTTAGAAAACCACTTTAGAATCGGGATACACTTCCAAGCAGCACAACATCCAAAGACAACTCGACTGACTTAGCAAGAGGTAAGAACTTTTTGGACATCTCTGGGACTGGGTCAAACTTGTAACCTGTCAATGCTGGAAACAACGGAGTGTTGATACACATATGTTGCAAAAATATTTTCATTATTGGTGCACACTTTATGCGTATAATAAACCTAATGGTAATTGCACGATATTATGTTTTACAAGACGTCGTCGATCAAATATCGAGCGAGCATTTACAGTATAGCGGGCACAGTGAAATTATATTTTGGCTGCAGATGTGAAGGCAAGACTTGACATAAGGAATAAAGTAAGCCTATTGAATTGGTATAGATTCCAGTACATTTTTGTAGAATTAAAATGTGATGCAGTAAAACTATCCAAAACATTGCCAAAGATACTTAATAGGCCTATGTTTTATCACAATAAGCTGCTGTCGCATGAGAATGTGATGTCATGCAAACATGAATGGGAGATCTTGCAAAAAATGGTATCTTAAAAAATAAATCAAATTAATATGTAGATATAAAGTGTTTTGTGGAAATACTTCGGTGATTTCCATCTGGGAATTATGACGCAAGAACTTAATGAGCGCATGAGGATTTCATGGCCTGGTATTGCAACTTTTATAGGCATAACAGTTACATTTCATGTCATTTCCCTTTCATAATTCTTAACATTCAGAAAAATAAAGTACATTTCAACCCTCAGATCTATAGGTTCAGATTGAATAAACTAAAAAAATATGTTTTATTTTTAGCAGGGAGTGTCTTTTTAAAGGGAGCCCTGTATTACCTTTTCATAGAACTATAAAATCAAATACAATATAAAACATGTCAAATACAAAACAACACAAATTGCACAGACCCATGCAATTGTGTCAATATGAAATTGCAATTAAATAGTTTAAACTAATAGTAAATTAACGAATAGTTTGTCAGGACTAGTGGTTTAGGCTACGTTGCTATCCCGTGTTGCCTCCGCCTCCTAACGTGAAATTCGCTAAGCAAACACTTTTCTCGCGGCCATGTACAGTCTGGAAAACAAAATATGACTCCGACACCCCAAAGGGCAGATTGTCGCTTGCCATACACGAGTCGCCTCGGGCCGAAGGGTTTTTAGCAATAAAATGTTTCCTAATTTAGTCAGATCAAAGAGTTGCAATGTACATGCCAATTTACATAATGCCATTTTAATAATCGAAGCATTGAACAGTGCTGCCTGGGGCACTCAAAAACATATAGCCTGGAGAAGGGATATGAATAGACAACAATGGCAGCTAGACAGAATAAGCAGGCTTGTGTGGTAAATATGGTAGGCCTATCATAACAGTACAATGATCAATAACAAAATGCATGAATAATGTGAAAGTACAAAATAAGAATTAGTATGAGTAAGTAGCCTCGTTCTCTTTCGCTCTCTCACGCACGTGCGCACGGACGCACAAACACGCGGGCACGCTGTTGAACAGCACTGTAAGTCCGTCCGTGTCAGCGTTGATGATAAATGGAGAGCCTCGCAGTCGAAACCTATTTGCACTTCCATTAGACGGGGAGCCAAATGGGGATCAATATGCATATTTTACCCACGGAGAAGCCATACATCTCAGCCAAAACGTTGCCCCGGGGCGATGGGATAAGAGACCGCGAGAGAGGGGAGGGAGAAAAGCGGGGCCCATTCAACTCAAATACTTGGGGGAGCAAAGTAAATGTTTAGCGAAGCACCGCACTTCTGTCCAGGCGAATTAACCTATTCCCCATTGCCCTGTGATCACATTCATCAGGCATTGCAGTGTAATAGGTTGGGAATAGGCACTGCGGGTGTCATTCACAGACCCACACACACAGCTCCCTCATGCACACACATAACATGGAGATCAGCTTCATGGTGTTATAGGTCTGAGTTTATTGTTCAAATTATGAGTTGTTACAAAAACCTTTCATAATGCAAGGGGGAAAAAGGCAAATTCCTATTTATTTGGACGGAGTGTTTGATTCGTTAATTTGATTTAATTGTTAGTAAAACACATTGTTATTTTATTAACCTTCATTTTGACGGAGTCAATGCTGAGACCAGTTGGTAGAGCATGGCGTTTGCAACGCCAGGGTTTTGGGTTCGTTTCCCACTGGGGACCAGTATGAAAAAAAAAATTATGCACTCACTTACTGTAAGTCGCTCTGGATAAGAGCGTCTGCTAAATGACTAAAATGTAAAATGAGCCCTGTTTAGCACAACAATGCACATCAAAAAACAAAATAAACTTTAAAACTACACATCCATATACACGACAATACATGAAAAACACAATCATAAAAAACAGACACATTCTTTATTTAGTAATGGTGTTATGGCCCAATAGAGATCTCTATTTGAACGCAATCAAATATTGAAATAAACGTTGCAATAACACAATTGTCAACATCATTCATAATATAATATCGATAGGCCTAACATTATAAAATAATAATAATAGCAAATAACAGTTTACCAGACCTATTAAATTGTTGTGTAGGTTACAACTATATAATTTAAGGTCTTACTTTATCATAAATTAACATGATTAAGGGATTAAGTGACATTGTATGAAGTGTCAAGGGTAATGAAGTGAATTAACTTCAAATAAAGGCTTACTTGTCAAGAATGTTAGCAATTACAGTTAATATTCAATTAAATACATCAATTTGATCCTTATCATAGACTGCATTAAGTGCAGCTTCACTGTTTTTTAAATTGAATTGTGTGTGGATAAATGAAATTCGTGACTGAATTTGAATTATCACAGCCTCTTTAGCCTTGGGCAAGACTTGAGGCTGTTCATTCTGTTGTATAATATTCTTATGTACAATGTAATATGTATAAATTGACTAGAATAAATGAGTCCCAATGCGCTCTTATATCAAGCTTATCTTGAGGGGGGGGGGGCTTCCTCTGACACCTATAGAGGTCCTGGATGGCAGGAAGCTTGGCCCCAGTGATGTACTGGGCAGTACGCACTACCTTCTGTAGCGCCTTGCGGTCGGATGCCGAGCAGTTGCCATACCAGGCGGTGATGCAACCAGTCAGGATGCTCTCGATGGTGCAGCTGTATAACTTGTTGAGGATCTGAGGATTCTGTATCGCAGATCCTGAAATGGCCAATGAAAATAGGCCTAAAGGAGCACAGACACCGGTGAAGAAAAACACATTATAGGCTACATCCCAGGCCTAGCATATCAAAATACTATAGTGAGGCAATTCAAGACTTTAGGAACACTCTCCCGCTTCCAAATCTCCAGATACCTGCCATGCATGGGAATATTTATATATTTCTCTCTGTTATAATCATAACTGCTCGAGCCTCGAAGATATTCCTTCTAGTCAAAGACCTCCACACTAATACATATCTAATCGTGTCCTAAAGCATTTCATTTTATCTATGAAAATCTTAAAGCGGCAAATAATAACCTACAAAAATGTGGGATGAGATAGTTGGCCTCGGATACCTACATATAACCCACTGGGCACAGATGTCAATTCAACGTATATTCCACGTTGGTTGAACGTGATTTCATTGAAATGACGTGGAAATAGCATTGATTCAACCAGTGTGCTCAGTGGGAAGGCTTTGATTCCTTTGCTGTAAAGTTGTTCTGTCCAATAAAATTAAGGATATACTTTGTTTATTTTAAATTAGGCTTATTGTAGCTAAATATAAACCAACATTTTTCAACAAATAGTAGGCCTAGTTAAAATGAACTAAAGTGGCTGCTAAAATTCATAGGCTAACCAAAGGAGATAATTCAGTACGCCTAGCTAAAGCATTGGTATTCACAGAAGGTATTTTAAAAGCCTATCATAACTGTTCAACATAAGACATTTTTGTCATTTAGCAGACGCTCTTAAATCAGAGCGATTTACAGTAGTGAGTGCATGCATACATTTTCATATTTGTTCGTATTGGTCCCTCCGTGGGAATAGAACCCACAACCCTGGCATTGCAAGTGTCATGCTCTACGGACTGAGCCACACGGGACCTCTGTGATTTCAGGTTGCCATCCATGCGTGGAACAAATCGTCTTATATAATTTCCAAAGCGTTTCATCAACGCAATGATCTCTCAAAGCAGCGCATTCAAAGGGGATTTGCGCTTTTGGTGCGATCCCAGGGAAAGTAAGTAATGAAATTAATTCATAAGGCATCCGTTACGCTTCATTAAGTGAACGAGTGATAATTACGCCATACCCCAATTAAAATAATTTTGTATAATTAATGGCTTGAACCAAGCAATAATTGGATATGAATGGTTAACGTTTTTGTCCAGATATTAAAATGTATTGCCCCTGAGCCATAAGTCTACCTTGACAAAAGGAAATGCGTCTGTATGCGATTCAAATGACCACGTCTTAGGCTATTACAAGCACCACACGACTCTGATAACTTGAACATTAACAAATTAAGCCATGGTTCATCAAGGATTAACCAACCTTGGTTGCACAAATAACACAAAGGTCTCCATGATTGCAACTTTATATGAGGTGATGAAATGCAGTATGCATAAACTGCAAGTGCACCACTGTCTACACACAACATACAAAATATCCTGAACTGTCAGATCATTTTAGCCAACAGTGAATTTAGACCGTTCATTACGAGCGTATCCAAAATTGCACGTTTACGCATGCAACAACAGGCTATCGAACTGCTCGGACAGATTGCCAAATGAAAACATTCAAGCAAATACTAACATGATCTATGCTTGTGTTCCCACAGGTAGTGGCCATCATGCAGCACTATGGAGTGAACGGCTACTCTCTCCACGCGATGAACTCCCTGAGCGCCATGTACAACCTGCACCAGCAGGCCGCGCAACAGGCGCAGCACGCGCCAGACTACCGACCTTCAGTGCACGCGCTCACCCTCGCCGAGAGACTGGCTGGTAATTGAGTCCAACAAACAAACTTTTACACACACAAGGTATCACCTTTGATGATCACTTACTGCCATATCCCCCCTATTCCCCTGTCCAATTAATTAAACTTGCCGAGTCTCTTCTCTTCCAACGGCTACACATTTCAAGACATCATCCTGGAGGCTCGCTACGGATCCCAGCACCGCAAACAGCGCCGGAGCCGCACCGCGTTCACCGCACAGCAGCTCGAGGCACTGGAGAAGACCTTCCAGAAGACCCACTACCCCGACGTGGTGATGCGCGAGCGCCTGGCCATGTGCACTAACCTCCCGGAGGCCCGCGTGCAGGTATGGAAGGCACAGTCACTACAGAATTAACATTCAGAATCCATGGCACCTATAGATTGAAATACAAACAATATTGATTAATTGTATCTGAATTATAATTCATGAAATATATTTAACACTGGGTAAACAATCCAGAAAAAATGACTTTAGTCATTTGCAATTCTTCTTTGCTTTTCTTAAAGAAGAAGTTCTCAAAAGACAAACAGTAGACAGGCCTATACCAAAGTAACACACATGTACATCCACAACGACTTGCCTTCATCTCAAGCACCTTGAGCATGCTTCTGACTGTCTCCCAATCTGGCAACCTTTCAAACAGGTGTGGTTCAAGAACCGCCGGGCCAAGTTCCGCAAGAAACAGCGTAGCCTGCAGAAGGAACAGCTCCAGAAACAGAAGGAGGCCAACCAAGAGGGAGGTGACAAGGAGGAGGCTCCTACCACCATCACTCCAGAGAACCAGCTCCCCCCATCCTCTTCCTCCTCTTCCTCCTTGGAGGTTGAGGGTCCGCCCCGTCTGTTGGTGTCGGAAATTAGCGTGGAGTTGAACGTGACCTCGGCAGAGCAGTCAGGCAGCGAGTCGGCCACAGAGGACAACAACACCGATAAGGAGGAGGAGTCTAACCCACAGAGGGAGGAGTTAAAGAGTGAAAGGGCGGTGACACCCGGCAACGTCTCTCCACCCTGCAAACGGCTTAGCCCCAAACCTGGTAAGGACAAGCTCTTATGACTGGCACTTGTACATCTCTAATATATTGTAGCTTCATTGGTGGGGGGGGGGGGGGGGGGGCATTAGTAAACAGACAACGTTAATCAGAGCATTCCTTTAGGAATGTCAATAAAGAGTAAACATATGAAATGCTCACGTTGTCACCCAACATCAGTTCGTTTCAGTCATACAGGCAAATGAAAAGGTGGCACAACAGCTTGGCCGGTTCTGTCAGTTCTACATACAGTGCTATGAAAATGTATTTGCCCCCTTTCTAATTTTCTCTACTTTTGCATATTTGTGATACTGAATGTTATCAGATCTTCAACCAAAACCTAATATTAGATAAAGGGAACATAAGTGAACAAATAAACAACAATTACATATTTATTTCATAAACAAAGTTATGCAACACCCAATTCCCATGTGTGAAAAAGTAATTGCCCCCTTACACTCAATAACTGGTTGTGCCACCTTTAGCTGCAATTACTCCAACCAAATGCTTCCTGTAGTTGTTGATCAGTCTCTCATGTCGCTGTGGAGGAATTTTGGCCCACTCTTCCATGCAGAACTGCTTTAACTCAGTGACGTGTGGGTTTTCAAGCATGAACTGCTCGTTTTCAAGTCCTGCCACAACATCTCAATTGGGATTAGGTCTGGACTTTGACTAGGCCATTCCAAAACTTCCAATTTGTTGCTTTTGAGCAATTTTCATGTAGACTCGATTGTGTGTTTTGGATCATTGTCTTGCTGCATGACCCAGCTGCGCTTCAGCTTCAGCTTCAGCTCACAGACGGATGGTCTGACATTCTCCTGTAGAATTCTCTGATACAGAGCAGAATTCATGGTTCCTTCTATTAAGGCAAGTCGTCCAGGTCCTGAGGCAGCAAAGCATCCCCAAACCATCACACCACCACCACCATGCTTGATCTTTGGTATGATGTTCTTACTGTGGAATGCAGTGTTTGGTTTTCGCCAGGCATAATGGGACCCATCTCGTCCAAAAAGTTGACTCAAGTTTGCCAAAAAGCACCTGGATGATCATCAAGACTCTTGGAAGAACGTTCTATGGACAGATGATTCAAAAGTATAACTTTTTGGACGACATGGTTACAGTAATGCCTGGCGAAAACCAAACTCTGCATTCCACAGTAAGAACATCATACCAAAGGTCAAGCATGGTGGTGGTGGTGTGATGGTTTGGGGATGCTTTGCTGCCTCAGGACCTGGACGACTTGCCTTAATAGAAGGAACCATGAATTCTGCTCTGTATCAGAGAATTCTACAGGAGAATGTCAGACCATCCATCTGTGAGCTGAAGCTGAAGCGCAGCTGGGTCATGCAGCAAGACAATGATCCAAAACACACAATCAAGTCTACATGAAAATTGCTAAAAAGCAACAAATTGGAAGTTTTGGAATGGCCTAGTCAAAGTCCAGACCTAATCCCAATTGAGATGTTGTGGCAGGACTTGAAACGAGCAGTTCATGCTTGAAAACCCACACGTCACTGTTAAAGCAGTTCTGCATGGAAGAGTGGGCCAAAATTCCTCCACAGTGACGTGAGAGACTGATCAACAACTACAGGAAGCATTTGGTTGGAGTCATTGCAGCTAAAGGTGGCACAACGAGTTATTGAGTGTAAGGGGGCAATTACTTTTTCACACAGGGGAATTGGGTGTTGCATAACTTTGTTTATGAAATAAATATGTAATTGTTGTGTTATTTGTTCACTTATGTTCCCTTTATCTAATATTAGGTTTTGGTTGAAGATCTGATAATTCAGTATCACAAATATGCAAAAGTAGAGAAAATTAGAAAGGGGGCAAATACTTTTTCATAACACTGTATGTCTGCCTCCCTGCCTACCAGTGAAACTTAGTTTAATGTTATTGACTCTTATCTGTTTTTTCCCTTACCCAGAATCCCCCATGGTCTCCCGGTCTGTGACGCCCTCGTCCAGTGGTGTCAGCAGTGGGATCTCCCAGAGCCACACCTACTCCTCCTCCCCGCTCAGCCTCTTCTGCCTGCAGGAGCAGTTCCGCCAGCACATGGCTGCCACCAACAACATGGTGCACTACCCTTCCTTCGACATGGGCACCCCCCCCTCTCTGCCCTACCTGGGTATGAATGTCAACATGTCTTCGGCCCCGCTGGGCTCCCTGCCCTGCCAGTCATACTACCAGTCCCTGTCCCACCACGCGGCCCAGCAGGTGTGGAACAGTCCCCTGCTCCAGGCCTCCGGAGGCCTCCCCAGCCAAAACAGCAAGACCACCAGCATCGAGAACCTCCGGATGCGGGCCAAGCAGCATGCGGCCTCCCTGGGACTGGACACGTTGCCCAACTAAGCCCCAGGATCTTAGTGCGGCCTAGCCGGGAGATCAATACTACATCCCACCCATCCCTTGTCTGTAACCTCCGCAGCCCTGTAGCCACCATACCCTCCAGCAGATGGTTTCGGGGCCATTAGTAGCCAGAGTTTTGAAAACCAAAATGGCATCTCACCCTGGACCGAGTTCTCTCCTGCTTCTTGCTTTATCAGTTGCCTAACTTCTGGCCTTGCACAGGCTATACACATGATCTCTACAGCAGAGCAAATACACTTCATAAGTATTTACGTGTCTAGTGTTGCACTTGGTGATAAAGACTTTGCAACGTAATGTTTACAGATAAAGGATGAATTTAGGCACTTTGAAGGGAATTTGTGTCTTCAAGGGGGAAAATACATTCGTGACAGCATTGGTGGCATTGAGAGACTACTTGTACCATGGGGCCATTAACAATTCAATTATGCCATGTATGTACATAGCACATTCTAAAAAAGCAAGCACATTCATAAATATTAACTCAAGCCATGTTCTCCTCGATTTCTTAATTAGAAGTGACTAATTTGCCAGTTTAATGCCCAGTATTAAACCATGTTGTACAGAGACTGGCTTGGTAATGAGAAAATTATTTCAGTGACTAAATGTGCAAGGCTTTTAATTACATTTTGCCCTGGACAGAGGGAAGGGGAGCATATGTAATTATGAACATGCAAACCAATTATGATTCCCTTATATCCAAAGCTCTGAGCAGAACAAATGCCACCAAGGCAAGCAAATGATTAGTGTATAGCTGCACAACCAAGAGAATACAATACAACACAAGGAGATCCACACCTGGAGAAATGAACCTGCATATTTCATGTTTACACCTCTTTCCGCCATCTACCCCCTCTGATGTAACTTGGTAACAGCATTCCTCCACAAACTGAATAGGGGGCCTTTAGGGCTGGGGGAGAAGTAGTATCCAGAACTTCCTGTTGTACTCTTTAAGCACTTTGAGGAGTGAACAAACTTTCAATTCTTGTCAATGATGCACCTGTGATTCTCTCTGTGCTGGGATCCCATCAAGTCCTTCAACTCCGATTATGTAAATAATTGTAATATGTAAATTAAGAAGAAAAATAAGTCTATCTATTAATGTTTACCGGTAAGGCAAATGTAAAGGTGTTCATATGTTGTAAATTGATCATAAACTGTCCTAGTTGTCAGTTGTAAGATAGTATTAAATGGGCTCACACCATTCCATGACCTTCTATTCCCTGGGTTACTGAAGCTATACTGTCTGGTAGTCTACGTATGAGCTCCACTGTGGCTGTGATCGTAAAAGTCCTACTGTTTCTCTCCTGCCTGTCATACTAATTGGTCCAGTGGTAGATTTAAAATGTTGGAGAGACTAATCCGGAAACCATAGGCATTATATTTTTTTCTCTGTTAACAATGTACGTTTGAAAAGTGATGTTGTAAAATAAATCCTAAATAAAGCAATGCTTGGTCTTTACATAGCTTCCTTCTTTCTATTTTTTGTTCTCACATGACAAAGCTATCCACAGTCTTTTTCCAGGGGAGGAAGGAGTGCAGTGTGGAGGAAGGGAGTGAACATTTAGAGGAAGAGAGCGAATGTGGGAAACGAGGAGGAAAGGAAAGGTGACAAGGATAACAAGAGGGAAAGACAGACAATAAAACGGTAACACTTCACTTGACACCCAGTGTCATAATACATTAGGAACGGTCATAACCACGTCATAATATGTCATAACAGCTGACATAACTTGTCATAACCTGTCATAATATGGTCATAACACTGTCATGACCCATATACAGTGGGGGAAAAAAAGTATTTAGTCAGCCACCAATTGTGCAAGTTCTCCCACTTAAAAAGATGAGAGAGGCCTGTAATTTTCATCATAGGTACACGTCAACTATGACAGACAAATTGAGAAAACAAAATCCAGAAAATCAAATTGTAGGATTTTTAATTAATTTATTTGCAAATTACGGTGGAAAATAAGTATTTGGTCACCTACAAACAAGCAAGATTTCTGGCTCTCACATACCTGTAACTTCTTCTTTAAGAGGCTCCTCTGTCCTCCACTCGTTACCTGTATTAATGGCACCTGTTTGAACTTGTTATCAGTATAAAAGACACCTGTCCACAACCTCAAACAGTCACACTCCAAACTCCACTATGGCCAAGACCAAAGAGCTGTCAAAGGACACCAGAAACAAAATTGTAGACCTGCACCAGGCTGGGAAGACTGAATCTGCAATAGGTAAGCAGCTTGGTTTGAAGAAATCAACTGTGGGAGCAATTATTAGGAAATGGAAGACATACAAGACCACTGATAATCTCCCTCGATCTGGGGCTCCACGCAAATCTCACCCCGTGGGGTCAAAATGATCACAAGAACGGTGAGCAAAAATCCCAGAACCACACGGGGGGACCTAGTGAATGACCTGCAGAGAGCTGGGACCAAAGTAACAAAGCCTACCATCAGTAACACACTACGCCGCCAGGGACTCAAATCCTGCAGTGCCAGACGTGTCCCCCTGCTTAAACCAGTACATGTCCAGGCCCGTCTGAAGTTTGCTAGAGTGCATTTGGATGATCCAGAAGAGGATTGGGAGAATGTCATATGGTCAGATGAAACCAAAATATAACTTTTTGGTAAAAACTCAACTCGTCATGTTTGGAGGACAAAGAATGCTGAGTTGCATCCAAAGAACACCATACCTACTGTGAAGCATGGGGGTGGAAACATCATGCTTTGGGGCTGTTTTTCTGCAAAGGGACCAGGACGACTGATCCGTGTAAAGGAAAGAATGAATGGGGCCATGTATCGTGAGATTTTGAGTGAAAACCTCCTTCCATCAGCAAGGGCATTGAAGATGAAACGTGGCTGGGTCTTTCAGCATGACAATGATCCCAAACACACCGCCCGGGCAACGAAGGAGTGGCTTCGTAAGAAGCATTTCAAGGTCCTGGAGTGGCCTAGCCAGTCTCCAGATCTCAACCCCATAGAAAATCTTTGGAGGGAGTTGAAAGTCCGTGTTGCCCAGCGACAGCCCCAAAACATCACTGCTCTAGAGGAGATCTGCATGGAGGAATGGGCCAAAATACCAGCAACAGTGTGTGAAAACCTTGTGAAGACTTACAGGAAACGTTTGACCTGTGTCATTGCCAACAAAGGGTATATAACAAAGTATTGAGAAACTTTTGTTATTGACCAAATACTTATTTTCCACCATAATTTGCAAATAAATTCATAAAAAATCCTACAATGTGATTTTCTGGATTTGTTTTTCTCATTTTGTCTGTCATAGTTGACGTGTACCTATGATGAAAATTACAGGCCTCTCTCATCTTTTTAAGTGGGAGAACTTGCACAATTGGTGGCTGACTAAATACTTTTTTTCCCCACTGTACTTATGTCATGCAATAAAATGCAAATTAATAAAAATCATACAATGTAATTTTCTGGATTTTTGTTTTAGATTCTGTCTCTCACAGTTGAAGTGTACCTATGATCAAAATTACAGACCTCTACATGCTTTGTAAGTAGGAAAACCTGCAAAATCGACAGTGTATCAAATACTTGTTCTCCCCACTGTAACAAAGTATTGAGAAACTTTTGTTATTGACCAAATACTTATTTTCCACCATAATTTGCAAATAAATTCATAAAAAATCCTACAATGTGATTTTTTGGATTTTTTTTCTCATTTTGTCTGTCATAGTTGACGTGTACCTATGATGAAAATTACAGGCCTCTCTCATCTTTTTAAGTGGGAGAACTTGCACAATTGGTGGCTGACTAAATACTTTTTTTCCCCACTGTACTTATGTCATGCAATAAAATGCAAATTAATAAAAATCATACAATGTAATTTTCTGGATTTTTGTTTTAGATTCTGTCTCTCACAGTTGAAGTGTACCTATGATCAAAATTACAGACCTCTACATGCTTTGTAAGTAGGAAAACCTGCAAAATCGACAGTGTATCAAATACTTGTTCTCCCCACTGTAACAAAGTATTGAGAAACTTTTGTTATTGACCAAATACTTATTTTCCACCATAATTTGCAAATAAATTCATAAAAAATCCTACAATGTGATTTTTTTTCTCATTTTGTCTGTCATAGTTGACGTGTACCTATGATGAAAATTACAGGCCTCTCTCATCTTTTTAAGTGGGAGAACTTGCACAATTGGTGGCTGACTAAATACTTTTTTCCCCCACTGTATTTACACTTGCTGTGACATACATTGCATTATGTTATGGCTGGTTATGATCCCTACATAAGAGTGTCAAAACCCACATCTAAACAAAGTAGTTTTTTTCCCTGCCAGGAAGTTTCATTTCGTTTGAAAGTTTGTTTCTTAAATCCGTTGTTTTTGTAATGAATTCTTTAGTCATGTTTTTTTCATCATATAAAAAAAAACGTGTAGAAAATACACTTGTAGAAAATACACTAAATAAACTTGTAGAAAATACACATGCCCCTATATCAGTCAAAAAGAGGGTGTCTTGTCCTGCTCCTGAAATCTGCTCCTGCATTCATCCCAGTCATCAGCAACAGAGCATTGGGGTCGGTGCATGTCTGACATCAATGTGTGTGCAATTACAATGATAATTGAATATGGTCAATACATTTTTTTACATATAGAACATAAAAATACTGTTTACACGTAGGCTATGGTATAATGGAATGTTTTGCCTTGTGTGGTAAGTTTTGTGGGTTTTTACACTCTTATGTAGGTGTCATAACCAGCCATAAAAGAACGCAATATATGTCACAACAGGTCTACATATGTGTCAGGACAGTGTTATGACCATATTATAACAGGTTATGACAAGTTATGTCAGCTGTTATGACATATTATGACATGGTTATGACCGTGTCATAATGTGTTATGATTCTGGGTGTCAAGGAAAGTGTTACCCAATATATATATAAGGTCAGAGAGAGAGAGAGAGAGAGAAGAAGAAGGTAATCAGGAGAAATAAAAAGCACAGGGGACA